GAACTATGGTATTTAAGAAAATTGTGTTTTGTGCCGGAAAGTTGGGTAAATACCGTAGGGAACGATCATTGGTAGTGTTATTCGGAATTAAATACTAGATTCCGGTAACAGTAGCTTCGTTTCCTTTATCTCTGCCATTTAGTACAATACGCTAAATTAGCCTTTTTGTCCATTTAATTAATTATCAGAAAATATATGATCCTGTTTTAAAAACTATTTACAATTATGCTTAGATAATAGATTGCCGAAAGTTTTTAGATAATATCTGTAATTTTATTACAAAATTCGGATAAAAAACCTGGACAAAAGCATTAATATGATTTAAAAATATATTAATTTATATCGACATTTCATAAAATGGCAGCCATTGATAAATAGACTAAAAATTTTTGTTTTACGATTTAAATAAATACAATTTTTTACATAATGGTTTTAGTTACTACTTTGAATAAGAAAAAAATCCTTCATACTTTACAATTATATATTCTTTAAAAATTCAATATATTTCATTGAATTAAATAATAATTTAAAAACACATTATAAAATAAATTTTGTTTACTTACTGCCAAAATGTTTAATTAGTATTTAAAGTAGAAGTTTTTACATTTCGTTTAAATTTCGAATAATTAATTATTTATTCGAATAATAATATATTCGTAATAATAATATATTTTATCTTTTTGATTTTTTTAATATAAAAATGAATTGTTAAACAAGTTAAAATAAAATATACAAGAAATTTTAGACTGATTATTATTAATACAAGCGTTGCGGCAAAATAAATTAGTACATGAGCAGTCTAATTGGTCATTAAAAAATAAACAAATATAATGTTTCCTTATTAATTATTATTTCTTTGATCACTAATTCGTATTGTTCTTACATATGAAATTTTAAAAATTATGTTATATTTATTTACTATATATATATATATCTTATTACATATAATATATGTTGATTTTGAATTGGAATAATATGGAATTTCTAGATATAAATACTGAATAGAAGTGAAAAATTAATAGAATAGAAAATATTTATTCTAGGTTATCGTATTAATTTAAGCTAATCATTAGCTTAATGAAATTAAGCAAATTCCTAATCAAATTATTACAATCTTGCGGTTAAATTATTTTACATTGTTTCGGAATTAGTTTGTATTTAAGTAATCTATTCTTGCAGATATTTTATTTATAACTTCCTTATTAACTGAAATTCTATTATTTATTATTGTATTGAACAATCGTGCACTTCCGCAATCGCTGTCACATTTAAATTGTCCAAAAATAAAATTTATAATATTGCATAACACTTATAATTAAAATGAACATTTGGATTTATAGAAGAATAAAAATTGGAAATTAGTAGATTTGAAATTATACAAATACAACAATTGCATCAGACGTAATTTTATGGATATCGAGGTTATATTACTATATCAAATTACAAAATTAAAAATATTTTTCTAGGATTAGAGTATTTTGAATGTATGTGAAGAGCGATTAGGAATAAAGTCTATGCTTTACTATTAATTAACATTGGTAAATTATAGCTTTTTAAAATCAAATAAGATGATTATCTTTGTCTTATTCAACCAATTAAGATCGCTAATTAATGTCTGTAATAACTATTTTATGAACCTTATTTATTTTCATTCTTATTAATGTATGGTGTAAATGGATTAAAGCGTTTCTGTCATGAGAATCAAAAGAGATTACTTTCCAGTATCGAGTTTCGATTCTCAAAATTACAAATCTTAATTACAAGTATGTTTATGCAAAGCCGATTTTACTTCATTCATTTGCATCATAATAATTGCAAATCCTTGCTTCGTGGCATATCATACACGTCTCCCAAAAATTATCATCGAATGAGTTAGTTGGTTAGCTCTCTCGCTCTCTCACTCGTTCTCACACACATTTACACGCGCGGAACAACACTTGCAACCACTCGCTGAGTCTCTCTCTCTCTCTCTCTCTCTCTCTCTCTCTCAAGCTAGGAAAGTCGGTGCGAAGGTTGCGACCCTGGCCATCTAATACACACGTGGCCCGTGTGGCATAGACACAGTAGCTCGCAGTCGGTCGGTTGAACTTGCATAAAAGTGCATTGATAAAAATGGCGCTTGGACAGACCTTCTAACCGAATTACGCGGGTAGCGCGAATTCACACGGCTCGCCGTCCTCGAATTATGCTCGACATTAACCTTGGAGCAGTCGCGTCCCCGATCCCAAGCGGATCGACGTTGGATTCATTCTTGGTGCTCTTTGTTTTCCGCGGGCGACCCTAGACGGAGCGGTTCTTTGTTACGGCCGCGACGACGATGCGCCTTTAAGGCGAGGAAGGCTGTCAGGCAAAGCGGATTTGCCTAAGTTCGCCGTGAGCGCGTACGGAGCTCTGTACAAAGCTCTCGCCTTTGTAATTTTTGCGGCTTTATCGACGCTCCAAATCGCTCGAGTCCGATAAACTTGCCTTTTTCCGTTTTCTCATACTTCGTTTCATGAGCGTTGTAATTTAAAATTACGTCGAACAAGGTGCACGAGAGTACTGCTAATTGGTAGCGCCATTTCCACAATTTATATGATGGAATAATTTAATGATGCTACAAAAGGCACAATGGCGGCACAATGGTTGGTGAGCGAATATTTGGACGCTTTACGAAGGCCGTTGTAAAGGAAAATGTGGAGACTAGATAGTGCTGATGTTAGTTTAAGTTGGAATAAACATTGCTCGTAATTTTATGATCGTTTAAATAAAGATACATATGACAATTCTTATGAGTTTATGGCGAATAAAATACTTTAGTATACAAACTGCAATTTACGGAAATATAAGAATTAATTGTAAAAACAGTGTTTGGCGAGACCAATAATTAAACGAGCGATACTCTTTTTTAATAATAGATTTTTAATAACTGGCTGAACAACTAAGAAATTTTAATTTCTTTCAATTTCATTTGCCTCGGAATACACGAAAATTCGTAATACGCAAAAACTTTATTGATATTATATAAATGTACATTTGATTTATCAATATTTTTTTAACGATAACTTATAAAATTATATTTAATAATTTATAGTCTTTCAATTTATATAAGCTGACAGTAACTTTGCAAGCAATTTACAAATAAATACTTATAAAATACCCATAAAATAATAATATTATATTTACATGGTATAAACAAAAATATATACATACACACATTTAGTTCTATGTCTAAATATATTATGTAATATTTTGCTTGAATATTTTATACTTTCTTATACTAGTCTTACATTTACTTTGTGAGTTAATAAAATAATAATAAGCTTATTTTTTTAATTAAGCCTTTATTAAATATTCAAAGTATGATAATAAATTAAGTAATAATAATTTGATATATAAAGGCAGTTTAATTTCTAAACTCTTACAGAACGAAGCATATTATATGATATTTAGGAATATACTATAAAGAAATTTTTATTTTCTACAGGACAATATTCATTATTATATAATATATAATTACACTAATATATATTGTTGCAAAGGTAACAAAATTTAGTTAAGCATATTTCTAAAAAAAAAGAAAAGAAAAGATAAACAAATTCTACTTACTATGTCATATTGTAAATCCAGGTATGTGCAAATGTTATTCACGTGACGCATTACAAACGATAAATTTATCGAGTTGTTATTAATTATTTAGAGGTAATTTTTATCGCAGATGTCACAATGGATTTTATGTTTAGAATAAAATTATTGTGATTATCTCAATGAGAATCTTGAAGCTGATATTTTTATATATGATTGGATGAAAATTTGTTTAGATAGATATAAAAAATTTTGTATTTATTTATAATTTGTATCCAAAATTTATTTCTTAAAGTACCTAAGTCATAATTTAATCAAATATTCGGAATTTTCATTTATAAGAAAATATAAATATTATTATATTTTCATATAATTTATGTTTATATATAATTAATGAAACATTCGAAATGTCCTACATGCTTATTCGTTTTAATGAAATTCTATAAGCTTATACTTTTTATGAGCAACGTTCTGCTCAATTTCAACCTTAATCTCACAATCAAGCAGTTTTCATAGGTTTGATTTAGTTATTCACTCACACAGTAGCTCCGATGAAAATCTAAAAACTTAAAAAGATACAAATTTCTTATTAAACGCAAAAGGAAAAAAAAAAAAAACACGTATTTAGATTTCATAGATTTGTAAAAGTAAAATTCAGCCGAGTGAATTAATTAGTTGCCATAATTTAACATTTCATTTACAATAAATTAAATACATTTCAACAAACATTTAAATATATTATGTTTTGGTAAATGAAAACTGGCTGCCTTAAAGCCATAAACTATGCTATTTTTAAAATTATACACAAATTAAATGGTTAACAAAAAAAGTTTTTTTTTTTAACTCACTATTCCAAATTATTTAATGACAATTGCCTAGAAATTATTTGATAAATTAGCAACAGAGGTGAATTTATCAAATATTTTTGTTTTCATAAATTTTTATTCAATTATAAATACTACCAATAAAATTTTAATGTGTGAATTTTTAATGATTCGTGTATATTGCAACAATAATAAATAAAGAAGGTAATTGAATAAAATGATAATGGAATGTGTTTGTAAATTGGCCGTATTTTCTAATAAATTGCATACAAATAATACATTCTATGGTTTCATTATTATTCAATTACTTGAGTAACAATATGGAACATATGAATTTCAATGCATTCATCAAACTTAATAAAATTTATAATTATTATTTATAATACCTCGATTATGAAGTTATTTTCTCGGTAGGAACGGTTGCAAAGAAAAAAATGTTCTTTTAAAGCAGAATTTCGATCATAGATTAAACGCCCGACGACATAAATCGCTTGTATGAAATTGAATAAAAGTGACGGCAAAGCGACGAGAAAAAGCGAGAATCGTGTGGCCAGCGTAGTCAGGGCCGCCGATGGCTATAAATATTTGAAAAGATTCAATCGGAAAGTCAGGCTCGCGTGTAAGTAGCCCTCGACGCCCTAAAGTCACAATATCGAAAACGCGCCTTTTGTCTCGGCTCGCGATCACCGGATCAAACGTCTAAGATGGCCACTGTCAAACAGACCAGGCCGTAAGCTGCAGCCAAGGAGACGTCGATGTTTTTCTTCTGGTCGCGGGAGCCGACGGCGGCCGCAGTCGCCGCTAGCCCACGAGCCGGACCCTGGTTCGCCTGGTTCGCTACCGCGGCCTTCCTCTGGCGTTATCGGCGATGCATCGCTAGGACGGTCTTCGGCGCCGTCTCCTCGATGCGAGTCCTGAAGAACCACCGTAACACGGCGACCTCACTCGTCACCCCCAAGAGCCATTACATCCGACAGTGCCACCAGCGTAATATCAAGTGCCGTTCGTCCTCGGTCTCCCGGCTCTACAACAGGCAAAACCAGCGCATCTGCCACAAGCGCGAGGCGAGTCTTTATCCTCATTATAATTACGAAAAATGATAGATTGCCGCTTTTCTCCTTTGATGAAAAGCAGTCGAGCTTGCTATTTTGTAATTTTACTAGCTCCGCGTCTTCTACTTTCCGAATTTTATATCCGAGCCACTATAATCTTCCCAGCGCCCAATCCCATATCACGAGACACTTACGTATGTCCAAATGCGTGTTAGCGTATGTGGTCGGGTCCGTGTGTGGTCGCGTGCGTGTATGTGGGCGCGTGCTAACTCCTGTATTTCAAACTCCAAACTCCGGGTAAAAATCGATAAATTGACCTAACTTAATTTTATATTGAGTTGAAAAGTAATCAATGATATTAAAGCTCAATTTGAATTTTCTTAAAAAGTTGTGACGTCAATATGATTGAAAATTTTTCACGTAAGCATTTAAGAATAAATTTTAATAGATATTTAATAGATACTACTCATTAACCGTGCAATACAGATTTAATATAATATCGTTAAAGCAATATGAATTATCAACTGAAAGTTTGCCATTTAATTTTGAAAGACGACGAAACCATAATCCCTTTGAGTCTCAAGAAAATCTTATTAAATTTATTCTATGATGTAGCAAGTATCGAAGTACTTTTTTTCTACGTCATATTTATCATTTTATTTAATGATAAACGTCAAAAACTTGTAAAAAATTTTTAGTTTCACTACGTATATTGTAATTTTATCCAAATTATTAATTGTGTCAAAATTAAAAACATTCGCTCATGTACGTATTTACGAATGCACGCAGGCACTCCCTTACACACGCGCGCGTGCGCGCTTCCGCACCTAATATAATTTGTATCTATATATACGTAAAGCATATATATTCTCGCTGGCGTATGCGTGTGTTGATACATATAATGCCTATTAAGACATAAACTATAAATTAAATCGTACTTAAATTAAGTATAAATTTTACAATGTTTAAATATAAAATAAATATTGAAAGAAAATAATGTAAGCTTTTTTTAAAAAGTGCTCTAAATTGCTTTATCAACCTCGTGTAAATATTTTACCTTTTTTTATTAATAAAATAATGTTTAAATGTCACCTGTCGTACGTGTATGAAAAGTAGTCAGTAAAGTAGTAAATTTAAAGGGAAGGAATCGAAATTTTACGCACAGTGTAATATAAATGTCTACGCTAATTTCTCCTTAAATCTGTAAAAATTTCAGAATACAATTCTCCCGTTCTAGAATATCACTTATTAAAATGAAACTTCGCCCAAATGCAAATTATCTTTCCATCAATTCCGTCGAAAAGTCCCTAATTCGCCGACCAAGCGTCTCGCATCAAAGCGCCGATCTGTATCTTTAAATTTTTAAATCACGATCGATACTCTCACGTATTACGATAATACCGAGTTGCACTAGAAAAATGGTAAGAATACATATCGCCGCGATACATTTAATACGAGTAACGACGCGTTTGGCACAAATTCACAAGTTATGAGCAACATATCAAAAACCCGTCTACTCACCCAACATTAACATTCATGCAATAATAGCGATACTAAATCTCAAAATCTCAAATAAATTACGAGCGAATAACAAAGCACATTTTTTCATGATCGTGAAACAGAAATTCTTTCAGACAAACAGTAGCAAGGGGAACATCATAAGCGTACCGCAGAAGCCACATGTCGTCGGCGTGAAGCCTCGACTGAAACGGCTGCACATGGGTGACGGCTCATACATTACGAGTTCGGCTCTCAGACTCACGACACGTAGGCTCCAACTGAACTCCAACTGCTTGCAAATAAGCCATCAGATGTATTACAAAGTGACGAGGAGCGGACGCACCTACGGCAAGTATTGGAACGATGAGGCACTCGATAAGTAGAATCGTCGAAATTTCCGACTGGCGTCAATAGTCCCCGTTTGTATTGCTTCTTTTCATTTGTCCTCCAGTGTGAAAGAGAAACTGGCTCGAATCTCTCGGATAATACGCTTGTTTAAATTTGAATGCGATTACTCGTGCGCTAATAAGTGGATCGTTTATCAAATTGGACGGCGTAGCGAGTTATTGAATGATCCGGGCGTCGGTTTGAGAGTTAAGAGCGCAATTAACGATAATTTCAAAGCATCGCGTATCGTTGTATGTATTATGTGTCATTTGACTTTGGGCTGACGTCAGTTTCTTAATTGTTCGCATTCGCATCTTAAACATGTTAATGTGGGCGGTAAATGCCGAGGCTCATGGGGATAGAGAAGGAGATATTATGAAAAATTAATCCATCGATCTAATTGAAATTCTAAATAATAAAACTATTGTGTGCATTACCATTATTAATGTAAATTTTAGAAAGTATCCGTGATTCTTCTTATTTTGCTTGATTTAGGCTGCTTTGTCAAATTCAAAAAGCAAATAATGTTTCCTTCGAAATACGAATGCCTATTGTCTAAGCTATCGCGGACCCCGATATCCAGCTATCATTTTCTTCGTTAATCAATATTCCAGGGAAACATTTATTAATAACTTTTTTTTACATAATGACGTGTTGTGGCTGGCGTCCAATAACCTTATCCTATAATTTCCGAAAATTTCATGCTAAACATTGTTCGAGCGTGAAGAAGTAAATTGTACAATTGTATTATTGATATGACGTCGGAAGCATGGTTAATAGAAATATAATACTTGCAAATTGAAATGTTAATGCTATTTACTTAATAACGACGCTAGTTTGTCATAATGTAAGCCTTCCATATTCTCTTAAAAAAATAAAATATCATTACCAATTGTATAGGCAATCATTATTCTGCAAATTACGTATTCAAATATACTTGAATCTAATTAATTTGCACAGACTATATAATAAAGGTGAAATATTCGGATTATTTTGAAAATTACGTTTTACACAATCTCAATCTCATAAAAAGGGTAGTTCTCGAAACTTTTCCACGCGAGAAGCCAATACTCGATTATCTTAAGTACTGTAGTAGTTCGTCGCAATGGCATTGTATATCATCAAATTATAATAATAGATTATAATAATAATAATAATAAAAAAAAATCGTCCAAGAAAGTGTATTATTCTGATGTGCGCTTACATCATAAATTTCATAAAACGTAAAAAATTTAAAATTTTAAAAAAACATTAAAAAAATTTAATTTAACTTCTTTTTTAATTTAACTATTTTGTTGTTGTTGTTGTTTTTTTAATTTACATTTTTATAGGAGTAAATTTTTCGTACATAAGTTAAGTATTCTTAGTGTCTATTGCTAAATACTCAACAATGATATGTAAGAATTATAATATTTTGTTTAACTTTTAATGCAAATTGATATAATATTAAAAATTAAACAAAAAACCAATATCTAATTGTAGCGAAAAGTAATTTCTAGCATGTTTTACAATTGTAACGAGTAATTTTCGAACCATGTTTTTTTTCTTTAGATAAATATATATTGAGATACATTTTTATAAATAAACGTTTATAATTATTAATAATCCATTAAGTACACTTTTCTTCCTTTCTTTTTTTTTTTTTTTTTTTTTTTTTTTTTTTTTTTTTTTTTTTTTTTTTTTTTTGACGGATAAAGAATCTTTATGAATTGTCACCGATCGATCTTCAATTCACAAGGAAATTACGCATCGGGACGCGGCGAATGGTGACGATAACGATTAATAATCGAGCAATTTGAGAGAAGCCTAGCGACTCTTAACAAATTCCGCAGCCGTCGAAGCACAATCATTCGTAACCTTACATCTCTATCCTTTATTTACCCTCCTCATCCCCCCCCCCTGTCCCAACCAATTACCCAGCACTGTACCCACGATTCGCGACTCTGAGCGCGAAACTTCTTCATTGACTTTGGACGGCGATCATGTCGTGGGTGCCCCCGTCGCAGCGCCGGTCCCTCGCAGCCTCACGACGTCTTCGCACCCCGGAAGAATATTGGAACCACCGGCCGATGGCGGCCTCAACCCACTTACTCCTCGACTTGTGCCCCGTCGTCGCGTGCGAGTCGCGTGCACGCGAGCCGCGAGAGTCCGGAAGGTCGGCGATACGGTTTTCGGCTCCGACGCGTCGGCCATCTTTTTTGCAGCTGTCCGGATGCGCGCCTCGAAGGATCGATGAGCCTCCTCGACGAGCTTCACGGTCTCGGGCAAGGCGCTCCTCGCATGCGACTCTTCACGTGCCTCGACGCTTGTCTTACCGCCCCCGCCCGCCAGCACATTTCCCCTCGCTGTCCAATCGCTCACGGTCTCCACTCGAGCTATTCTCGCCGTATTAATTTAAAGGTCGTCCTTCGACATCCACTCCCATTTATTTTGCCGCCCCTGGTGATATATGAAAATTAGCATTGGCGTTAAATTCCTGGCGGCTGTCTCGCGGGCCAAGATCTCGATTTCAAGTGTGGCAGAGCTCATGCTGCCGCACAATCGATTTCATAATTGGCATATGGAATGCCGTCGTTTATGTTTGTTTTGATTTTTTTTTTTTTTTTTTTACTATCTTCCATAACGAATAAAGGTGATGAGCTCGGATAAATGAAGTAACTCTGAGTAATTTGTGTATAACGTGATGTGCCTGTAATTTATAATAATGAAAAAAGTTTTATTATAAGTCAAACAAGTGAGCATTTATATTGACAGATTTTGGAATCTTGATAGCGCGTCTCTCTTAATTACTATTATAGTATTATGAAAGAACGATAAGATTCGATATAAGCAAATCGCTTTTTCATGACATTAGTTGACAATGTAGCATTCAAATATTATTACATTCATACTTTTAACCAGGATAATTCGATCATAACTGTGACGTAAATCCGTAGTTGTAAAATCTAAATATGTACTAGTTCAAAGCTACTACTGTCTAATGCAAAGCAATAATATGAAAACTTGCAATGAAAAATAAAAAAAGCTTATGTATTTATTATTATAAAGATAATATTGATTGTTCATTGTGGTGATTTGGTATTTTTTAGATAATATTTTTCATTTTAACATAATGTCCAAAGATTTTCAGTAATAATGAAATTTAAATATTATCTTTCAAGTCACTGAAATAAGAATTTCATTATTATAATTGCAATAAATCTTAATACGCGCATGCTGAACATAACAAATGATTAAAATAGTGGCTTCGATCGTATTGATTATTCTTTTGTTGATAGAGAATTTTAGAGGTTAATTAAAAGTAAGTTTAAAACACTTTCCTACGAAAACTACAGCTCTTGATTTATACAAAGTGAATTAAATGCTTGAAGATATATATATATATATATATATATATATATATATATATATATATATATATATATATATATATAATTATCATGTACTTTTCAATTACTTATAATTGACTTCAATTTCTTGCCATCCATTCAATGTACTAATATATTATATAGAATGTAATTTAGGGTTGGTGTTTTTATCATATTACGAATTTCGGAAATTTGACGCATAATCAAAATAGTTGCAGATAATCTAAATTTTAAACGTAATATTTTTATTAACTTTTTGTTAGAAAATAATTTTATCGCCATTACTCTAAACTTATTAGAATAATTTTTATGTTCAATTTCCTGATAAACATAAAAAGGATATTATATAATATGAGTAATAAGTTGTATAAGAATTAACTAAAATATTACATATTATTTAGTCAGAAAGAAATTTTAACATACTTAACTTTACTTTACCATACTTAATAGAAGAAGGCAAAAATTATATAAAAAACAAAAAAAAAAAAATAATAAACAATATTACAACTCAATATTGTTATACTTTGTATCGACTATTTCTTTCAATTTAGCGTTTTTTTTTTTCATTTAGTGTTATGATTTGTTTTTTCTTAATTTCTTAATTTAATTTTCGTATGTTATATTATGTAATAACAAAAGTTTTTCTTCTTCCAATTATATTTTCAGATATTGATTATAATGATGAATCCTCTACCGTATAATTTAATTATAAAAGACAATAATTAATTTCATTCCTTTTTTTTTAAACCGACAATTCGAGTTTATACTTTATGTTTCATAAAACTTTTATACTGATTCCTAAATGTTGTTATAAGCATAATTCTATTCGCAAATTATCTGAATACATTATAAAGAATTCTATTAATTACGAGATTAAATTTTATCTTTCAATTTTGTATATCTTAATAATATCTTAATACTTATATAATTTAAAACTAATACAATCAAATAGTAATATAAATAAGAAAATAGTGTGCTACTTATATTGACATAATATTTCTATATATATTTTGACAGTATTATTTATTACCTAATCGTTGACAAGTAAAAAGTCAGTAAATTACTATCTTGCCAATTTCGAATACACTATTGTTTCAATCGGCTTTTTCATATTCTTTCTCATCCTCTTTCTCTCTTGCTCCCAATCTCGTACTCTCATGCCTACTTTCTCTCTCTCTCTCTCTCTCTCTCTCTCTCTCTCTCTTCCGTTTCTTCGTTCTTCTCCGACATGTCAAATAAAATCAATAAGCTATACTCTCTTGCACTTGAAGGGTCTAGGACACCGCTACAGTCTACGCCATAATGTTTACTGATCCTGTTAGCCATACGAACTGATTGATCGATTCGGTCATAGTTTGCCTCTGCATTCTCTTTACATGTAGTAAGTACACAAGATACGATTCAGCGTAATGTCAAACACGATTATTGAATTACTGCGCTTGAAGGGCTAACAAAATAACTTTGTCGACCGTGAAGCTGTGAGGTTATTCGATAAGCTTGATGATTCTCATCACTTCATATCAATCTTAGATTGTTCAAAAGGCTATTATTACATAGAAAAGAAATTCCAAATAAACTGGTCTAAAAATTATTTACATTAAACTCTAATCGATATATAAAAAAAAAAAATATTAGCTGCATATTCACTTTTCGACAATAAAGTATGGAAATTTCATTAGATAACGCAAAT